CCTTAGTGTGGTGATCAATCGGCGACCTTACTGGAAGGAGTTCCTGTATCTAGACGCGGGTGGTGTGGATCAACGTTAGAGGGTCTGAACCCTTCAGACCTACCTTGATCATCTTGAGTTTTCACGAACAAGGTATGACATACGTCTTAAAGTATGTATCTTGATATGCATGTGTGTTCCGCTTGCGAAAAATTTTGTTTTTCCCTCACGCATGTTTCGGCCTTCAAGGCCAATTCAATTCTACTTTCAAGTGGTATCAGTGCCCGATTACTTTACCATAGACGGGTGATGATACCTTGTTTGTGAGCATGTTTCTCACGGTTAAAATTTCTTTAAGGAGTTAAAGATTCAATTTTTATTTATGGATTTTAATTTACAATACTTTAAACGGTTAAAGTTTCATTTTTATGAACATCTTAATTTGATTGCTGTGTTCATATATCCATATGTATTCATGGTTATCATTCTTTTCTTTATGAAAGTTTTAAAAGGAAACACCTTTTTGAAAGGTGGAGTTCGACCATGAAAGGTGTTTTGAACACCTTGATTGTTTTCTTATTTTTCATGAATTGTTTCATGTGCTAAGCATGTCATAAAATTTTTCGAAAATTAATCTCATATACATTAGTATATGGTTCGGCCATCAAGAGTAGATGGCTACATGCATGGTTTGAATTTTATGTTCTTTGAGAAAGAGTCAATAAAATTTGAATTATATTAATTGTTATATATAATTCGGCTAATTGAGAAATCTAAGAAAGTTTGAATTTTAATTTTTTGTTTTGATGTTTAAATGTTAAATATCAAGACATATGTGATAAACATATTATATGATAATATTTTGTACTTGTGAGTTATCTAACATTTCAGGTGCAAAAGAGGAAGGGGATGGTCATGGTGCCCGAAATTTAAATTTTGAATTTTTAAAATTAATGTGTAATTTTTGCTCTTTAAATTAGAGTTGTAATTTGATTTTTAAATTTTGTATTTTAAATTTTGTCCCTCCAAGATGTTTTGGAGTTTCTTTAATTGTAATTAGAGAAAATAGGCTAGTGGCCTATAGACGACAAAAAGCCGTGGCTTGAGAAGCAAGATGGACAAAAGATCGAGCGCCATGACTATCTCAAAATAAATTGTTTTATTTGCATGTATGTTTTGTACGACTAGCATGCATGAGATAGTATATCGCGATATGTATGCTTTATGGCTTATGACATCTAGTATGCATGAATTGGACAAATCGCGTTTGTATTATTATTATGCACGTCCAATTGCGACTAGTCTAAACCGTTAGATGTATGACATAGGTTACGACTAGCATGAAAATATATTAATGCGTTTGATGAGACCTAATAAAATCCCTTAATAAAAGGAACCCTTAAAAGGAATAAATAATTAAGCATATGATTACCTTCCACCACCAATATTACTCGAACCTCCTCTACATAATGGTGCTCCACAACTCAGTTGGGACCCACTGTTTCGTTGAGTAGGAGTAGTATTAGAAGTGTTAGACACTTAGGGTGCTGGTTAATGCTTAACTGAGGCATAAGTTGTAGGCTCAGCCGAGCTTATGGGCTTAGGGTAATAATGCTAGGTTGGTTGCATGAGAAGCACCACTAAGTGACAAGGAGTTGTCAACCTAATGTTAAGAGAGGGTATGAGATGCTGTTGATAAGGATCAACCCATTATTTAAATTAATCTTGCGGTCTCAGACGGGGGTTAAAATAAATAATCACACTCTTAATCTCACTAAGGTAAAATCTAAAAGTAGATTAACCCTAAGTCAAATGGTAAGGGTCATTGACGTAGATAAAATAGTGGGAGGGGCAATTTATTTAAAGTCTTTAATAAATTGTAACACGACAATATATATTAATTGATCTTTCTTTACATTTTTCAGTTTTTAGTATGACTAATCCACTGTCACTGCGCTCAATACTTGATACGAATAAACTGACCGGTTCAAACTTTATGGACTGGTATCGGAACCTGAGAATTGTTCTTAGGGCCGAAAAGATTGCCTACGTTCTTGATGGTGCATTACCCGTAGCTCCTAGGGAAGGGGAAGATGGGTTCGCGGAATATGATTTCGAGGCCCACAAACAACACATGGATGACAATGCGATGGCAGTATGCATCATGTTGGCATCCATGTCGCCTGAGCTGCAAAAGCAGCATGAGCATATGGATGCTCCCTCTATTGTCTTACATCTCAAGGAGTTGTATGACGTTAAAGGCAGGCATGAGAGATATGAGGCCTCTAGAGAACTGTTCTCTTACAGGATGTATGAGAACATGTCTGTTAGCAGTCATGTTCTTAAGATAATCAGGCTGATTGAGAGGCCTCATACCTCTCACAAGCATCCCATGCACGTTGTAATTCATAATGAATAGACTAAAGGAAGGTGGAAGTGAGGTGAGGACTAAGTCATTACTTAGCTCGGCATCCATGATGAAGCCTAGATTTCCTAGCTTCTCAATGTGTCCGATCATCTTAAGAACATGACTGCTCACAGACATCCTACAAGAGAACAATTCTCTAGAGGCCTCATACCTTTCATGCCTGCCTTTAATATCATACAACTCCTTGAGATGCAGGATAATAGAGGGAGCATCCATATGCTCAAGCTGCTGTTGCAGTTCAGGCGACATGGATGCCAACATAATGCAGACTGCCATCACATTGTCATCCATGTGCTGTTTGTGGGCCTCGAAATCAAATTCCGCGAACCCATCTTCCCCTTCCCTAGGAGCCACGGGTAATACAGCATCTAGAACGTGAGCTATCTTTTCGGCCCTAAGAACAATTCTCAAGTTTCGATACCAGTCCATAAAGTTTGAACCGGTCAGTTTGTTCGTATCGAGTATTGAGCGCAGTGACAGTGGATTAGTAATACTAAAAACTGAAAAGATGTAAAGATAATTTAATTAATATATAGACATGTAGTAAAAACAAATTATTAAAGACTTTAAATATTTTCCCCTCCCACTATTTTATCTAAGTCAATGACCCTTACCATTTGACTTAGTGTTAATCTACTTTTAGATTTTACCTTAGTGAGATTAAGAGTGCGATTATTTATTTTAACCCCCGTCTGTGATCGCAAGATTAATTTAAATAATGGGTTGATCCTTATCAAAAGTATCTCATACCCTCTCTTAACATTAGGTTGACAACTCCTTGTCACTTAGTGGTGCATCTCATGCAACCAACCTAGCACTATTACCCTAAGCACATAAGCCCGACTGAGCCTGCAACTTATGCCTCAGTTAAGCATTAACCAGCACCCTAAGTGTCTCACACTTCAAAACACCAAATTGTCTTAAGATTGTTATTGAAGACAGTGGGTGATGTTATATCACTTAGAGATTTGAACCCATGTATAAAGCAGAGGAGTTAGATGATCAGAATTATCACTGCGCAATTATAAATAAAATAAGAACAGACTTACTTGTCGGATATATGAAACAGAGTGATAATGATATGCAGTATCAGAGGAGTAAATCCGAGCCCACAGAACGTGTCTCCTTACAACAATTTGCCCCCTCACAGATGCCAAAGGTTGATGGACACTTGTCTCCCAAGATAGAACGGATTTCGTCTGAAGAATGGTGGCACTACCAATCAACAGCCCAAATGAACACAACTGAATGCCAGAGAAAACTACACCGGAGTATGAAAAGGAACATGCAAAACCGGAAGGAGAAAAATTCCGGCAGAGTTTCAGTGCAGAAAAATTGGATTCATTTTCTGAAGGTGTCAGTGTCTATTTATAGATAACATAAGATCACGTTTCAAAGGGAACCTATTCGACGACGAAACAACACATCCATTGGACACGAAAAGACACATTCGTTCAATATGAAAAGACACACATTCAAGGATGAAACAACACGTCCGTTAAGATGAAACAACACGTCTCTTAGGATGAAACAACACATCCTTTAGGATGAAAAGATACATTTGTTTGTCGACGAAAAGACGCACATTTTCACTACCAAACTTCTTATTCATAACCAATAAATTGTCTACACAATTTATATAATATATATATATAAATTCCAACCTTGGGCTGGACATCTCTGTCTCCAAGACAGAACACATGTATTTATCTGATTCAACTGATTAAACCAATAATTCATTAATTGAACCAATAAACTAATAATCGAGTGTCATACCGGATCTCTGACCGAGTTTCATGACATCGCATTATAATGTTATTGTACGGTCTTCCCTCGTCATTGATATTTGTACCATGCTCAGCACATGAGATCCTTTGGATATATAATTTAATTTAAATGACCGTTTTACCAAGGAATGATCTGTTCTTGTGCATTCACGTACAATTGGCAATGGCAAGGTCAATGCATATTTATTCCACGCAACACTTACATGATATGAAGGGGCTTCTTCTTGGAACTTACCAAGCCTGTCGATCATAGAGAACGGATAAACTATAGCCACTCATTCCTAATCTAATGCTTTGCAAACTTCCATTCCATTTGTCACTCAATCCAATTTCAAACCTAGTAATAGATGAACAATTATTATATAGACAACTATTTACTGAGTGCCCTGGCTTGCATGTCTATGAGTCTTAAGTAACATGCCATGATTCTTTCTTCTATTAATCTGAAATACAAATGATTACAGACACATACAGATCCGGGCCAGACCATTGGAGCTAAATTACAAGAGATGTGCTTAACAAATCATTAATTTTTTCGAAATTAGTTAATAGAATAAATCAAGTTGTTATATTTCACTTAACAAAAAATAAAATAAAATTGTCAGCCATCAGAAAGCTCCGGCATAAACAAACTAATACCAAAGTCAACTCAACAAAATTAAGCAACCGTACGTTAAGGCATAATATTTTATTAATATTTTAAACTAAGACCATTAGTTATTGAACATTTCATGTAGCTATCCAAGCCCATAAAAGAAGAAGATCATGTTCATTCTTTGCACTCGATCGCCATGAATAATGAGGGTATGTCTTCCTCTAGCAAAAAGCATGACGTATTTCTTAGCTTTAGAGGAGAGGACATACGCACCACCTTCGTTAGCCATCTTCACAATGCTCTGAATAAAGTCAAACCAATCAGAACGTTCATAGATTATGATATTCCAAGAGGAGAAGATGTCTGGCCAACACTTGCCAAGGCGATCAAGGACTCGCATATATCGGTTGTTATTTTCTCGGAAAATTATGCAACCTCAAAATGGTGCTTGGAAGAACTCTACAAAATACTACAATGCAGAAAAGATCATGGTCAAGTTGTTATACCTGTTTTCTATAAAACAGATCCATCACACGTAAGGCACCAGACGGGTAGTTACGAGAAAGCATTCGCCAAACATGAGCGAGATTTTGGGGACAAAGACAGCGAATCCAACAAACGAATTGTACTTAGGTGGAGAACTGCTCTCACTGAAGCAGCCAATATATCTGGATGGGGCTCTCGAAACCATAAGTACTCTCCCTCTCTATCTCTAACTAACTTTTGCAGCCAATATATATATATATATATATATATATATATATATATATATATATATATAGAGGTAGGATCCTTTGACACCGGTGTCAAATTTAAAGTTTGACACCTCGTCTGAGAGCCGTTAGATCAAAAAATATCAATGGTATAACATGCTTATAAATCAGAGTCGTTGATATTTTTTGATCTAACGACTCTCAGATGAGGTGTTAAACTTTAAATTTGATATCAGTGTCAAAGGATCATGCCTCATATATATATATATATAGAGAGGTTATATTAATAAAAAAATTTCTTACAAATTTATAAATTATACTAAGTATGACTCGTCAAACTTCAATCAAAAGTGTATGACCGGTAAGATATAGTATAGTTTATAAGAGTTAAACAAAAAATTTATAAAAATAACCTTTTATATATATATATATATATATATATATATATATATATATATATATATATATATATATATATATATATTTTACATTTTCATTTAATTGTTTGATAATAAATCAAGAAAAAAAATAATCTTTAAAATAGTTTTTATCGTAAATAATTTTTTGAGACACGATTGCTACGGGTAGAATGTACTTCAAGCGGTATCTCCCCTTGTGATCAAGGGAATGTAGTTATGTGATAGGTATTAGATCCTTCAATCTGCATTTCTCATTCTCCCTTAGCTTTAAAAAAAAAAAAAAAAACTTTATAATTAAATAAATATGATAATATATAATTAAGGCAAAAGTATTTCTGCAGTTGTGACAGAAATACTTTTGTCTGCCACAGATACAAATTTTTTTATTTCTCCCAGAATTTGCATGAGGATTCTGAAATTTTTATTTTTTTTTTAAAACAATTGAGTACCAGATTGTTGTGTTTGTGATAGATAAAATTGTCTGCCACTGCTGCAGATCCAAGGGACCCTATAATTAAATGATAATAAAATTTACTAAAAAATATGTGTATAAAATTTAAGGAAAAGTTCAAAAATCCCCTTAGGGGGTGTTTGGTTCCTGGATTTTGTGGAGAAAGATGGGTAAATTGGAAGTGGGTTTGTTGGTTTATAGTGTTTGGTTCAACAGGTTTCTTACATTGCTATCTATCTCACTTCCCTAGTTAAACCATTTGCAAGGCTATCTGAGCCAAAAAAGCAGGCCAAATTTACCCACTTCCACCATGGTATTATGAATTATCTACCTATCTGTTAAAATTTGGCAACCCATCGATGACCATGGTACCCTCTTAACTCATTTCTCAATCTAACCATCCCCAACTGCAAGCAAGCTGCAACCATGAAAGAGACTACTATTACTAGCTCAGCATAATGCACTCCAGATTTTCAATTCACAACAAAAAAGTCACAAAACTTTTAGCACCAAATTTGGCATTCTTCCTTCCTCTTCATTCTAAATCCTTCTCTCTTTCTTATTTTACACAGATCGATTACAAGGAAAGAGATTTTTTCCTTTTTTTGAAGATATGGTCTTTGGCAAATAGACGTTGGGAGATGACATATAGACGTTGGGAGATGAAATTGGGTAAAGGGTACTGATTAAAAATTATGACTGTACAGGGTTATTTTGGTAATATTAACTTGTTTTCTCATCTATATTTTATCTACAACCAAACATAGATTTCATAAAAGTTACTTAATTTTCTTGGTAAAATTTTTCCCAACCAAACAACTTTTTATTACATTTTCCTACCTATCTCACTTTTCAACCATTTCCCTATCTATAACATTTCCCTATCATTCACAAAATTTCTCCTCAACCAAACACCGCATTGTAGTTTCTCTTAGAATGACTTACCCCCTTAAGGTTTATTTTTTATCATTTATCTACTATAATTATTTTTTTCACCAATTTCACCTTCTAACACTGTTAAAAATTAAATTAAACTATCTATTTTATCCCTATAAAAAGAATCACTACCAGACTATCTATTATTGTGTTCTTACTCACCTTTTTCAACTTCTTGATATGAAAATTCACACTGTAACAATTTTTTTATTCAACTCCACTATAAATTATGTATTATTAATTTATTATAATGCTAAGGCAAATAATCAAACATATATTACATGTTCAAACTCATACCTCCATCGTAATAATTTAGTATTTAACTTAAATTGAACTCTTTATTTTGACACAATTGGCTCCTCATTTATTTGAATTTTTTTTATATTTTAATATTTTATTCGCGGTTAATTTGCTTCTCATATTTGCTTATAGCTTTGAGCATAATTTTGGTGAGTGATGTATATCAATAGACCAATCTACTCCTTAAGATATTAGTATTTTTTCCCACATTTTTATTTTCTTTGTTACTTATCTTTGGCTCACATTTTTTTCATTTTAATTTTGGAACCCAGAATAAAATTAATATTTACATATAAACTGATTACTTAAATAATCTTTAATTTTATCTATAAAATTTAAGATATTAATGCATTTATCAAACTCAAGTCAAGTCAGTTTTACTAAAGATATATAAATGGGAAATATTATTCTTATGCAACATAAGATAAGACTCTTTTCTACACACTCATTGATTTCCGTGTAGTTTAATTTTCATTTTTTTATTTTTTATAAATGAGTGGACCCCACTCATGAATGTCTCTATGGTAAGAGAGAACTTCTCTCCTACAACATAAGATTAGTAAAGCCCTATATAAATTTGTAAGAAGAAAAATAATAGTTCTAAGTTAAACGTCCATTCTTGCTAACTATGTTGTAAATATTGTCTTATTGGAAGATCAAAATTAGTTGCTAACATGCATTTTTCATTGTAATTTTTCTCTCAACATCATTGGGATGAAAGATTTTTGACAGTATGATATAGATTTTAGAAAATAATCAGAATTTGATGAAAAAAAAGAAAAATAACATTGTCGTATGAAATTCTTATATCTGCAATGTTTCTTTTTACAAGGGTGAAATTGACAGTTTAATTAATTTTTAACAGAGTTAAAAGATTGACTAGATGAAGAAATTTGTATGGGAGTAAATAAAAAAAAAATAACCATAAGGGAGTAAGTGATTCTAAAAGAAATTATATGGGTTTTTTTTTGAATTTTTTCCTAAAATTTATACTAAAAAATTATTAAAATTAATTTTCCCGTTTGTGATAAATTTAAGTAATATTTCCTTTTGTCACATATGCTAGGGACGAGAATCAACTCATCGAAAACATTGTGAATGATGTACTGCAAAAGCTGGACTTGAGGGAACCTATACAACAAAAAGGCATTGTAATTGAAAAAAACTGTAGAAATGTTGAATCATTAATGATAAAAATTCGAAAAATTGGAATTTGGGGCATGGGCGGAGTAGGTAAGACGACCATTGCTAAAGTGTTGTTTGCCAAACTCTTTCCCCAATATGACAATACCTGCTTCGTGGTGGCCAATGCAAAGGAACATTCCCTTGGTAAGCTTCTATCTGAGCTATTAAAAGAAGAAATTTCCACATCTAATGTTGTAAAATCCTCATTCAGCATGCTCAAAGATAAAAAAGTTTTCATTGTACTTGATGATGTGGATAAGTTAGATCAAATTGAAGATTTGTGTAGAGAGTACGGTTACCTAAGTCCCTCTAGTAAACTCATCATAACAACAAGGGACAGGCAATTGCTTCAAAAAAATGTTGATTGGATATACGAGGTAGAGGAATGGGAACGTGCAGAATCTATGGAGTTTTTTTGCTTAAAAGCCTTCGAACAAAGCAAACCCCAAATTGGTTACGAGGATCTCTCAGACAAGGCAGTTGATTATGCAGGTGGAGTTCCATTAGCTCTTAAAGTTTTGGGTTCATATCTTCGTTCCAAAGATACTACCTTTTGGGTTAGTACTCTCAGAAAACTCAACACGTATCCAAATAAGGGAATTCAGGACTTGTTACAAGTGAGCTATGATGATGGGTTAGATGATTCAGAGAAGAAAATTTTTCTAGACATAGCATTTTTTTTCGAAGGAAAAGAGAAAGATCATGTCCAATCAATACTAGATGCCTGTGGTTTGGAAGCAACTAGCGGAATAGTAGTCCTTGAAGACAAAGCTTTGATAACTATTTCAAATAGCAAAAGAATACAAATGCATAACTTGCTACAAATAATGGGTTTGGAAATAGTACGTAGAGAAGATGGAAAAAATCCTGGAAGACGTAGCCGATTGAGGGATAGTGAAGCTCGTGAAGTAATTGAGAAAAACAAGGTAATTAAGGAAAAGAAAAACATACTTCTTACAAGACATGTTTTTTATATAAAAATTGTAGCTAATCTGATACCGTTTTTTACTTTTGTTGTTTTGTCAGGGGACTGATGCAATTGAAGGCATAACATTAGATTTATCTCAAATTAAAGATTTACGTTTGCCTGCTGATACATTCACAAAGATGGAATCCTTAAGATTTCTTAAATTATATATTCCTTCTGGTCGGAGACGTTCTAGTAATACATACATCGACCTTCCTGAGGTTCTTAAGCCATTTTCTGACAAATTGAGGTATGTTGAGTGGACTGGATACCCATTTGAGTCTCTTCCATCACCTTTTTGTGCTAAGTTACTTGTTGAGATTCGCATGCCGCACAGTAATGTCAAACAACTTTGGCAGGGAACACAGGTAAACATGTAAACGTACTTATGCTTACCTTACTTTAATCTTTTTTTATTTGTACAGAACCATATCAGTGCAAAACCTTAAGGTGTTGAGTGAAGATATTTTTAATGATTTATATTATTTTCTAACACAACTCCTCACACAAGAGCTCTTTGGACTTGAAGTGTGAATATTATACAGGCTCAAAATTTGTTGGTTTTACCTTGTGCTTATTTTAATTCCACTAGAAAATGAGGTAGTGAGGATTGAACTTGTGACATTGGGTCAATGAAACTCTGATACCATGTAAAGAATCATCTTAATCCAAAATCTTAAGGTGTTGGACGATGGTCTTTTTAATGGTTTATATTATTCTCTCACATTATTCAAGACGATTTTCCATTTTGATGTCACCTTTTGAATTGTAACAGGAACTTGATAATTTGGAGGGAATCGACCTAAGTGACAGCAAAAAGTTTGAAAATCTTCCGGATTTGTCTAAGGCGTCAAGACTAAAATGGGTGAATCTCTCCGGTTGTGAGAGTTTGTATGATCTTCATGATTCTGTTTTATCGGCTGATACACTTGTTACTTTGTTACTGGATAGGTGTATAAATCTTAAGAGTGTTAAAGGCAAGAAGCATTTAAAATCTCTGGAGACGATCAGTGTCATTGGCTGCTCAAGTCTGGGGGAATTTGCAGTGTCTTCTGAATTACTAGAAAACTTGGATTTAAGCAATACAGGAATCCAAAGATTGGACACATCAATTGGGCTTCTAAAGAATCTTAAATGGCTTAATCTAGAGGGTTTAAGACTCGGGCATCTTCCAAAGGAGTTATCTTGCCTTAAATCCCTTAGGGAGCTGAAGCTTTCTGACAGTGGACTGGTAATTGACAAACAGCAGCTACATGACTTGTTTGATGGCTTACAATTTCTACAAATACTACATTTAAAAGAGTGTAGTTGCTTGTTTGAACTCCCCGACAACATCAGCATCTTATCAAAAACATTACAGGAATTAAGGCTAGATGGAAGCAATGTGACAAAGTTGCCTGAAAGCATCAAGGATCTTCAAGAGCTTGAAATTCTGTCATTGGAAAATTGCAGGAAGCTTCCGTGCCTACCAGAGCTTCCAGCCCTCATCAAACAGTTATATGCCGTTAATTGCAAGTCATTGGTGTCCATGTCAAATTTAAAGAGTTTGGCAAAAAAGATGTTAGGAAAGGCCAAACACATTTCATTCAAGAATGGATTGAAATTGGATGGACATTCACTCAAATGCATTGAGGAAAGCCTCCATTTAACAATGATGTGTGCAGCATTTCAAAATGTGATAGTAAGAAATTTCGGCGTGTACGTTCTCAGCTTGAATTATAACAGTGTTGAGGTTTGTTTACCAGGAAGCGGAGTCCCAAGTCAGGTCAATTATAGAACAAAAGAGACCTCAATTACCATTGAACTTCCTAACCGTTCCAACTTGCTGGGCTTCATTTACTCTGTTGTTCTTTCTCCAGTCCGTGGAGAGAAGAAGCATGGCACTAAAATAAAATGTGAATGCCCCATGGCGGAAGGTACAAAGGTTACATGGCTAAGGACTGATATAACGGAATTGAAGTCGGATCATGTTTATGTATGGTATGATCCATTTCATTGTGATGGCATTCTCAAATATTATGAACCAAAGGTTCGTTTTGACTTCTTTGTTTCAAATGATACGGGGGAAGTTGATGGTTCGATCTGTATTAAAGAGTGTGGAGTACGCCTCATAAGTGTTTCAGAGCTGCACAATGTTTTACCGGAAATGGACTTGGATTCAGATAAGAAAATGGACTTGAAGAAGGGGTTGGAGGTTGAATCAGGACGAAGCATTACCTTGACAACAATTGAAGGAACTGATGGAATAGTCGGTATGCAACTTTTTATTCTCTTTCTTTTATTTATAGAAGTTTATTTTGGTAATGTTCTCTTTCTTCTTTAGTGGAAGAAAAATATAATAGCAAGATTAAAAGAATCACAAGACTTGGATCATCAACATTTTATTCCTTTTATGTGACAATTAAAGATGTTTTCTTGCAATTTTTGTTGTTCTTTAATTTTTTAGTACTGCCTTTCAACCAATTATATCACTTTCGGTTTTCCTCCAACAAGTCTCAAATCTATTCTTTTCACCAACTTATTATTTTGCTTATATTTGGTCACAGAATTAGACCCATACTCAGCTGTGGCTGAACCAGATTCGGCTGAAGAAGATAATGAGAGGAAAGGCCATTATTCTAATGTGGAAGACAGCATCAAATCTACTAGCAAGGAAAATACTACGGACTCCACCGATGCTGTAAGTCAGGGGGTTCTTTGATTTTACTTTGAAAAACTTCGTAATCTATCTTAAAAATACAAAATATAGCACTTGCATTTTTTACAACTGATTTTTCCGTTGATGGGAAAGTGTAAGTGGATATTAGAAAATATCACATTTGGTTTAGGTTTTTTCAAAAAATACTAGGTAAATAAGATAGATGGAGAAATGACGTTTATGTTGATTTTTGGATGAAATTCACTGTTACAGAATATCACTTGAGATGTGGTATTTTGAGATAAATGGGGAAGTGAAAAAACAGGTGCGAAGTTTCTCCCGAACATAGATTTTGCAAATTTAACTAAATTTCCTTGGTAATATTTCGGTCAACTAAACAACTTTTTTTTTATATTTTCCTACCAAACTCACTTTTCAACTATTTCCTTAGTAATTACATTTTTCTATTATTCAAAAAAAAAATTCTCAACTAAACGCCCCCATAGGACTCTCTTATAAAGATGCCTCTTTGGTGGAGTTATTATAGGTCTCTAATTAACTCTTTCAACTATTGATTAAGGCACTAATTAAGACTTATCAGTATTCAAATTCTATTTTTCAAGATTTCATCATCAAGACTCACCTATATCGATAAAACTCACTAGTAATATAAAACTAACTAAAATGAAACTAAATGAAAATACTCGCTACTTAAATAAAGAATAAAATGCGTCCAATTCTATGTGATCTCAATGTATCTCATGACTTTTTCAACCATATCATTTATGGAGTTTGCATTTTTCATTTAACATAACACAACAAACTTTCCTACACACACAATATTTTGTGGGACCTACACTTTTTGAAAAAAAAAGGAAAAAAAATAAAAATTATAGCACGCAAAACGAAACTCTATAACGTTACATTTTTCCTACAATATAACTCTTATAAAACTCATCATTTATAGCCAATATGATAATTATGTTGTGTAGGTCAAAATCAAAGGAAATGAAGTAACACCAACTGAATCTGATGCTGGATTGCATATTAAGGGCATGCCAAATGAAAACAACTTTCATTGGACAACATATATTGAAGAGGCCAAGCATCCAGAAGAAAATCAAAATGTACAAGGGGGACAAAGCATTGTTCATTTTGACACCCATGATCAAATTGTTATAGAACCATACCATGAAAAAGAGAATAAACCAATGGATATTGACAAACCTGAAGGTCAAAATGGATCAGATAATGATCCCTTTGTTGAACTTGAAAGCACTCTGTTGGCAATTAGTGGAAAGTCCTCATCAGCAAAAGCAACCTCTTCTACAAGCGATGTTGCTGTAACAGAAGCTTTGCATAATCTTGAATGCCTATTGCAAAACTCGCTTGAGTCCATTCTCGGTGACTTCGAACTACAACAACAATTAAGTATATCTTTGCAATGCATAGAACAGGGATCGGATGAAAAAGTTACTCCACATGTTGCGAAGCTTGTTCAAAGCATGAAATCCTCTATTGAGGATGTGTTCAGTGAATTTAACTCGACTCAACAAGTAGTCCAAGATCACATTATCCGTTTGAAACAAACAAAAAAACTTGAACAGCAAGGGACAAATGCTAAGAAACGGCGGGATTTAGTGAACAAAGAAATGTGCAAATGTAAGTTTGAAACCGAAGGTCTCGACGAAGAGGCTAAAAAGCTGGATGAAGAGATTCGAATTCTAGTTGAACAGAGAGAAACTGTTGAGTTGAAAAAAACCATGTTGAAGGAGAACCTGGAAAGATGTGATGTAGAAAAGAAGAAATTGGAAGGTGATGCCTGGAATTGGGTACGTGAAAGCAAAAAGCTAAAGCTGGAGATTGAGAAATCAGAATTCTCATACGCTGCTGCCCTGTCTAAGCGGAAGAAATTGAATGAAAGATGGGAAGGTTTCAAAACAGCTTTTGTAGAGCTGTGAAACACTGGTAGCTATGGTATGAACCATCCTGTGACAATATAACTGAGGAAGTTAAAGAAAGCAAGGACAATGATGATGAGTGCATTACTGATATCTAAACATGTCATTTGGATTCTATGTAGAAAACTCAAAAGCTTTTTGAGCCAATCAGATTGGCTTGATTGGTATCAAATGTTGGGTACTGTTCATACTCTACATGCTCACGAGGGCCTATGTTGTCGAGTTCACCATAAAGGTAACTAGGGTCCAGCTCCTAGGTGAGCGGGCTAGGGTTTGGGGAAGCCGTCCCAGCGGAGGCCAGGTATCGTTGTAGTTTCTGATTTATTGTAATTTTATTTTTTTCGTAGTAGTTTGTACTTTGGTTCATGAATAATTGTTGTTAGGGTTATCTAATCCTATTTATATTTTTTTTGTAAACCGAATGACTTGCAACGAGTGTCGGTAAAGTAAATATAGTACAGATAAGTTAATCTACATTGGATGAACCAGGATAAATTATCATGTCAAATCTCTGTTATCTTTCTCTTGTTTTTGGATTTGTGTGTTTCGATCTCCAACATCAAAGAGTGTGGTGTCTACCCAATATATACCTCAGATATTAGAGTTTCGTAAACCACATAATTTGATCAGAAGTTAGAAGATAGAGCTAGAAAGATTGCAATGGGGATCGAAAGCTCGGATGAGACAGAAAGTAATAGCCTAAAAACTCATATGTAGAATCAAGATAAAGACTCTTGCGATTGCTTAATTGGTATACATGAGACTTACTGTCATTCTCCAGCCAATCTAATATTTATAGCCCTTAATTGTGTTGCCTTTTTTCTTCTCTAGAATTTTTCACAAATGGATGACGGTTTTTTACAATTGGAAAGTATAATGAGATTGTAAAGACACAAATTTTGGATCATAAATATGAACATGTTTTTATCCATTGGTTTCAAAATCTCATTAAGGCATTAAATACTATAGGCTATAATAACTCTTACTAGTAATTGTGGATTTAATATTGAAGAATAATTAGAAGTAAAAGAAATAAAGTCAACTTTGGTAAAAAAGGAGTTAAAATGACAGTTAAGGGTAAAAATGCAGGTAAACAAAGTTATCCGAAAAAGTGAAAGTAAAGTTAAAAATATGACTAGAAAAATATTCTAGTCCATTAGATAAAGTTTGGTAATAAATGGAGGTGTGTAGATAGATAAACCTTTACCCAGTTGAAATAAATTAACTTTACAACTACTTTAATGTTTTCCATCGTCCCGCCACTGTCTCATTTTCTCCATTTCTCTCTATGTTGCTCGACATTCCATGGGAAAAGGGGGTTAGGTTTTAAGTTTTTTTTTTCTTTTGATTTCTCCTTCAATCTTCAACCAAGTCACAAAGTTCATTACATGAAATCGATAGTAAACCACCCAATGAATTCATTCCACCACTTAATTTGAGCTAATTTTGCTTGTGGAGAAAGTTCTTCCGCACCCCAAATTTGGGGCACTATTCACCCTTGTGAAAAAGTGGAGCTTTTGAGTGAGCAAAGCTTAGGTTTTGTTCTTTGGACCTTGGAATAGCAACTATAGGTAAGAAACCTTTAATTCTATGGTTTTATTTTGTTGATTTAAGTCTTGAAATTTGTTAGCATGTTGTGGTGGGAAATAAATTAGTTTAAAAAATTGAATTGATGATGGATTATTGATGTCTTGGATATAGGAATGTGAAATAAGCATTTGAATATGTGTAAAATTGGAAGAAAAAAATCCCATGGTGTTTGGTCCCCTATGTTTCAGCCTTGTGGGACTTTGGAGGGGTTTGATGTTCAAAAATTTAGTTGGATACCTTGTAGAGATATATCTATATAGGCAGGTAAAAGAATTAATTTATTACTTTTTTAATAAAAAATTACGAATAAGTTGTCGTTTTGCAGAAAATTACGAATCTATAGCACCCAAACACGCCCACATGGGGCGTGTTCTGATGGAGAGAGGCACACCCATTTGGGGCGTGAGCTTGTGAAGGAAACACGACCTACGTAGGGCGTGTGTGGTCACGCCTAAGATAAGGCGTGTTCAGTGGGTTGACACGCCCAAATATGGGCGTGAGTGACTAAACTGACTGCTATTTAAACACCCACCCCCCTACACACTCTTCACAATTCTGTCATTGTCATGCTAAACTCTCTGATAGTTTGCACTTGTTTACTCATATTTTGTTTTATCTTTTAAAGTTGTTTGTTTTTAAAAATGAGTGCGAATTCTGATACTATTCGTGTCGTTCTATATTTTAACGGTAGGAAAGAAGAAGGTCGTCGTGGTGTTATTTCTGTAGGGGAGAAAAGGCCATCACGTATTAAACGAAACTCAACGGTTGTTGAGCTGCATCAGAAAATACGTCAAAAATTATGTCTTCAAGACAACCAATTGATCACTCTTGTCACGGCAAGGTTATGGCAACGTGAACAATACATTAGCTTGCAAGTGGTCGATGATGAAGACATCGATATGGTAATGGAAGAGTTCTTGAACCAGTGTAGAAAGGATTTCTTAGAGTTGTATGTGGATACTACAACCGCGGAGGAAGTTGTCATACCAATGAGGTCAGTTAGGTCTACTTCTCCTCTTAATGCATCATCATCTGTTGTTCCTGCTGTTCCTGCTGTTAACATGTCTGAGGAAGATGAACATGACCCTACTTGGGTTATGGATGAGGAGTATGACGAAGATGATGAGGAAAATATTGCAATAGAGGATCGTCTTCTTTTAGAGGATGCGAGTGCATCGGACAATGACGAAGAATGTGGCAGGTCTGGTACTGAACTTCAACCAGTGCATGATTTGGGGGAGTCTCGTATCGTTGTACATCATGGCACAACATCGAGTCAAGTACCAGAACATCCTGAAGGTATGCTATCAATTAATATACTGACAGTTTGGTTGTTGCAATTTTTGATTAAGAAAATAATTCAATTCTATTATTATTATTACGTAGTACATGTAGGCGATGCACCTGTTGATCCTTTTTGGTCAGAAATTCCACATTACACATATATTGATTGGGATTATCCGAGTGAGGCACAATCATGGACGCAGAGTTCGGGTTCAATCCAGGGTCCTTGGCAATTGGGAGAAAAGTTGTTTGTTAACCAACAATTTACATCCAAAAAAGAGGCTCAGATGGCAATCAAGCGCTACCTCATGAAGGAGCATCAAGAAGCAATTGTGGTTGAGAGCACTCCCACAAAATTAAGCATGAAATGTTGTGCACACGTCCAAGGTTGCCCGTGGAGGGTTAGGGTAATTAAACCAACGTATGGTGAAAATTGGAAGGTGACGAAATGGGGTGGGAAGCACAATTGCTTGAATGACCATATTTCTCAAGATCATCGACAACTTGATTCTGACGTTATTGCAGCACTTGTAGTAGGTACGTAATTTCAAATTAAAAAGCTGATTAAAATTGCAGTTGATATACCTGTTGTTCTGTTAATGTTTATATTCAGCTTTTGTGATTCAGAGATGATAAAAAAGGAACCTTCAGTGGCCATTTCGCTCGTTCAGGAGAGGATAACGCATTCATATGGATTCAAAGTTTCATATCGAAAGGCATGGTATGCGAAACAGAAAGCAATGGCAATGTTATATGGTGATTGGGAGGAGTCCTGTGCATTTTTACCCAACTGGTGTGAATATATGCTTCGTTTTTCACCAGGTTCTTTTTACAATATTCAAACAAAGGATTGTTTTGTTGGGGGCAGTTGGTTTCTGGAAAACGTGTATTTGTTCGTTGTTTCTGGACTTTCAGACAATGTTGCGAGGCATTTAAATTTTGCAAACCAATGATACAAATTGATGGCACTCATCTATACGGGAAATATAAGGGAAAGTTATTGATTACCACAGCTCAAGATGGTAATAATGAATGTGTGCCACTTGCATTTGTCGTTGTTGAGGGTGAGACATTGGAGGCTTGGTCATACTTCCTTACCAATCTTCGTCAGCACGTCACTCAAGCGGATAATATATGTCTAATTTCAGACCGGCATGTTAGCATATTATCGGCTGTTGAAAATAATCCCCTATGGCAGCCACCCCATGCATTTCATGTGTTTTGTCTGTGACATGTTGCAAGAAATTTTAATCAACGATTTAGAAATGACAAATTGAAGGCTAGCCTGATGAATATAGGTATGTTGCACACTATGATTGTTGAATTAAATAATTGTAGTTTTTTCGTTAAGCGTCAACTATGTGTGTTTTTTAAATTGTTCGCAGGATATACTCCTTGCATGGTGGATTTTGAGAGGTCGCTAGCACGATTTCGAGACACAAGCAGGCAGGTAGCGGAATGGATTGATGCCATCCCTAAGGAAAAGTGGTCGCGTGCACATGACCTTGATGGACGAAGATTTGGGCATATGACAACAAACTTGGCAGAATCCATAAATAGAGTGTTAAAGGGAGCAAGAAACATGCCCATTACTGGTCTGGTAAAATTTACATACAGTAGATTGGTTCAATATTGCGTGCACAGAGGTCAATCGGCTTGTAGGCAACTTGAATCTGGTCATAGTTATTGCAAAAATGTGATTGAATCTTTGACACATAATGAATCCGTGGCAACAATGCATACTGTGCGTACATATAATGTTGATGAAACTATTTTTGAGGTGGATGCAGGGTTTGAAAGGACATATGTTGTTAACCTTACTGCTCGTACATGCCAATGTGGACAATTTAAAGCATTTAAATATCCTTGTAGTCACGCCGTTGCTGCAGCGTTATCCATTCGTCGAAATTATCGATAATATATAGATGATGTATTCAAGATGTCAAACTTGGTAAAGGCATACTCATTTCCATGGCAACCAATCGGCAATGAGCAAGCAATTCCACCCAACAATGCAGGTCTTGTGGTAATACCAGATAAAAATATGTTGCGGGCAAAGGGTCGTCCAAAGTCTACAAGAATACGGAACGAGATGGATGAGGTTGAAACTATTACATCACGTAGGT